GACTTTGTTTAAATGGTGCGTTTCCCACCACCGTCCTATATGTAGAAACGGGAGAGTAAAGCGACGACCAAGCCATTGTATAATTAATACTCAATCAAAAGACTCGTTTCGGAGCAGACTCGGGTTGGTTTTTGTCTGCACCTTGAACCACACCATAGAACAACTGTGATTAGAGAGGGAACTGGTTTTTTTTTTGGAAGCGTTTAGAACAAAAGGTCCACCGCATGCACAAGGACTTGGGCCGCAGAACCATGCTCAAATTATGATCGTCTAAGCGTATAATCTATGGCTGGTTTGGAGGCTCGTTAAGATAAAATCCTTGTTAGACAATTTCCTAATACCATCGGTTGAAACTACGTGGCTATGATTTTGTTTTTGTTTTCAGTTTTACTAGTCTCTTAATAGCCTTGCTTCTGAAAATTGAGGTTGCACATAACCGGTCGATTGTTGTTGGCATGGTTAATTTGGAACACTTTAAGGATTCCGAGCGCAATGCTAGTTGTCGTCATAAACTGTATGTTGGATTGCTCGCTGCGCTTACGTTTTATGGATTTCACTTACTTGTATTTCATTGTTAACGATTACGAAATCGAAAACTCAACCATCATCCATCATCATCATTATGATTTGCCGGATAGATTTGAATATCGACTTTTCACATTCCACGAAGTCCCCAATAACGCCGTAAATTTAATTATCACTATGATGTGAATAGATTCTACCGCAAGAGACCACCCCAACTCACAGTACTGGCTGTTATTGCGAATTTGTGCGCGCCAGGAATTTATCTGCCATCCCACCGCGTTCATTTGAACAATTTTCGAACACTACGAACACTCCAATTAGGATTAAGAGATGAACTAGCCCTCGGCTAAAAATCTCTATAATAAAGAAAAAAAAAAAAACTCCAATTAGGCTCAATCGATCTATGTGGGCTAGGCCTCATTCGTCTAAAGCCATCATCATCATCATCATCATCATCATCATCGTCGTCGCCGCCGCTGTCGCCATGTCGACCGGTAGTCAGTTTGATTGTGATCATCGTGTGGGTCTTAATCGTTTCCTATAAACCAATTCGTGGAAACTTTTTCGAAGCAGCAGCAGAGCTATCGAGCATCGCTTCCAGCTAAAAATGGACCGGGATGGCGGTTTTGGCGTTACGTAATTTGGAAATTACGATTCTTTGCTCTTCCTAAAGAGGCACAGATTAGAAGCTTCAGAGCTTTAATTGATTGCTATCACGAAGTGGCCTGTCGTTGTCGGTCAACAATTAATACTGTTGCACAGTGGGGTGGCTCCATACAACAGTCGGTCATAATTATGTTTCCTACTTTTTAGCGTAGAATGTGTTTGGATTACCATATATTGAGTATTTAGTCAAGATTTTACGATAATAGTCAAAAAATAAAATATTGCATTAAATTGGTTCAAAAACATACAATTAATGTTTTGTTAAAATAACTAAAATCTATCTTTAAAGTTTTTTTAATGTAAGCGATTTGAAATTATAAGAGTTAAAGAGGCAAATTTGTGAACCTATCTTAATAATAAATTGTTCATATGAGTGATTGAAAGGACCATCTACGAATTTTTAGATAATAATGAGATACCTACAGCCTGTCCTTTGATTCAGTGAGGGTTAGAACGCGATCTACCAGGTTGGTCGAGGAAGATGCCATGTGTGAGTAAGTGATGACACATTGTTATGTACAATTCACTTTAAAATATGCTTTTCATATTTCACCACATGCAGTTCCAAAGAGCGCTTGCGAAAATCTCTTTAAGATACGATATGACAGAACATTGATACTAATTGTATAAAACATAAGTAAACCCAAGTAACAATTTCGGTTTTATAAGGGTTCTGTAGACCATGATTTAGACTTGTAGCATGCTTTAAAACCTCCATAAAACTTGCAATGTTACTTGGGAATGCTTCCAGAAATTAGTTAGGATAACATATTGAAAAATGCGTTAATTGGTAGTCAACAAATTGAGTGTTTTTTTTTTTTTTCTTTGGTTTGTTTTTTCCGTCGATCTTGTTTTCCGTGCTGAGCACCAATGCTACCGACGTGCCAGGAAGGCAGCTCCCACACCTGGACCCTACCTATCGACCCATCAACTCATGAACCGGGGACCAACGGCTTTACTTCCCATCCGAAGGAAGGCGTAATCAGAGATGTTATGCCTCAGAACATCCCGGCGGCGCCGACTGGGATTGAACCCAGGCCTGTTGAAGTGAAAGGTAATCACGCTTACCACTACACCACCGGCGCCGTTTACAAATTGAGTGTTTTTAAATTTTAATTTTCCCTCAGTTCACATCCGTTGAACCATTCTGAATGGCCATCCCATTGTAGTTATATCAGAGCATTGCTAATAATGTATATATCTGTATCTTTTCCGGTACCATAGAGTCAACAAAGTAAAGTGAAAGAATAGCTGCAAAATGGAGCACATGCTGATGGAGTGATGCTTGTTAAGAAAATACTCGGAGACACTGTTCATTTTCTGCACTGGTGTTACGGTTTTATCGAACGCAAGTAGGAACTCAAGATCATCATACCAAGATAATGGACGTCAAAATGTCGTTGAACACTTCAGAAATTCCATGGGAGACTTTAGAGAGACTAGTAGCGACTAGAAGTGATGGAGAGAAGGACAACGAATTCACAAATAGGCACGAAAGTTGGACAGAAGTGTGAAGTAACAGCAAAATTTGGTGAGAACGTTAATTTTTTTTTTATTATTGTAGATATCCAGGGACCATCAGGGCACCCGATTGAAGCGATTTGGACGAAGAGAGTGAGAATGCTGATAATGTTGATAACATTTCGTGGATAAAAAGCGGGTTCTTCTCCCCACTCATTGGGGCATCTTTCTGTTTTGGGGCTCGTCTTTTTAACCAATTGTGCGATCATGTTGCTAGAAGGAGATTCTTTACTGTCCTGTAGATTCATATAGGCGACTTCGCCTATCGATCCACTCAATCCCTTTTTTGGCCCTTCATACAGCGGTATGTTGAGGACAATCATAGGTTATTATGTTTGATCAAAACAAACAGAGACGAGAACCCACTGGTATAGGACATAGCTACTGTGCTACAATGGGTGGTAGATCAATATCATCATCATCATCATCATCATCATCATCATCATCATCATCATCATCATCATCATCATCATCATCATCATCATCATCATCATCATCATCATCATCATCATCATCATCATCATCATCATCATCATCATTATCATCATCATTATCATCATCATCATCATCATCATCATCATCATCATCATCATGTGCAAGAGAGTTGGGTCTCTTTTTACATGGAAAAATATGAGACGAGACATTGAAGATTATGTAAGAAAATGCGATTCGTGTCAGAAAAACAAAATTTGCAAGTCCTACAAAATTCCAATGAAAATTACTACAACAGCTACAGAGCCGTTTGAAAAATTATTTATGGATATCGTTGTTTTACCCGAATCGGAATGGGGTAATAAATACGGATAAGTCGTTCAAGATGACTTAACCAGATATTTAATTGTCGCATGTATGGAAAATCAGGAAGCACAAACAGTAGCACGAATTTTTGTCGAAAATGTGATCTGTAAATTCGGGTGTCCAAAAGAAATAGTGACAGATCAAGGTGCGAACTTCATGAGTAACCTCATGAAAAACATATGTAAAATTTTGAAAATTAAAAAAATCAACACAAGTGCATACCATCCACAGGCGAATTTAGTGGAACGTTCAAACAGAGAGTTGAAAACCTATTTACGACAATTTATTGGAGGGAATCAAAGAACATGGAACCAATTGATACCATACTTCAACTTTGAATACAATACAACGATAAACTCTTCAACAAATTACACCCCATTTGAGTTATTATATGGACGAAAGGCAAAAATTCCCACATCCATTTATAGAAAAGGTAATTCCACAATGGACTATCATGATTATGTTGGTGAAATGAAGAGTATTTTGAGCAACATTCATTATAACGCAAGAGAAAACTTGAAAATATCGAAAGAAAAGCGGAAGGTTCAATATGACAAAAATTCAAATCAATGGCAACCAATGTGGGGAGATTTAGTTTTAGTGCAATCAAACCCTATGGGGGTAGGACAAAAACTACAGAGTATGTGGCGTGGCCCATACACAGTAATGGAAATTCCTAGTGAACAAACCGTGGTAATACAGAATGGGAAGAAATTAGAAAAAATCCACGTCAATCGTATAAAGCGATACAATGATTAATCAATGAACAATGAAAAGTACGCGGAACAAATTCGTCAGTACCGACAAATAATTATTTATTTATCGATTATTATATACATAATATTTATATTATAATTAAGAACAGAGAGACACACATATTAAAATAACAATTAAAATTTGGATGTTACTCCAGGAGATGGCTATGAAAATGGAAAGAATACTGCGAGCAAATAATAAAAATATTAGTGTTGGCGCGTTCACGCCAGCGCGCCTCTACTGTAGCGTGGGTTTGACCATCGCGTACATCATCGCAACCGCCCAATACGCACCGGCCTTGACAGTTCGTCGTATCATAGTAGTAGTGAGTGAGAATAACCACATAAAGGAAAGATACCCATAGAAAGTGAAAGTTCCATGCAGTAAAATTTGCTGATTAATTTTATACTTAAACTTATTATATTCAACGCCAAGTGAATTCCTATTTGTGGCAGTCTTATGTAGGTATAAGGTAGTATTTAAAATTAGTACATTGAACTATAATTGAATCATTTTGATAGTGAATCTCAAAGGATGTTTTTCTACATAATTATAACCTGAAATTGTGTAGTCTATATCGGATGCTAAAAGGTAAAATTTGAATTTAATGATAATTTGTTTTAAAACCTACTTACACCTAAATAATTTATAGTACGGGCAGCTAGTACAAGGTCAAATCAGATAAAATTACGGCCTACTCGTACCGATAGAACACCTTTGAACACCGGATACGATTTCTGATCACAGATCGCACACAATAGAACGGACTAAACGTAAGTTAATAAATTAGGTGATAGCATGCTAACTTTGAGTATGATGATAACATTATGTACAAGGATATAATCTAAAACCTACATGTATCCCCTTGCAGGAAAATAATAATACTGCGCAACTCAAACATAAATCCTAACTATCGGTCGTCTCTCTGCTTTATTATTATTTCGGAAATCATCCCGTCCGGTAATCTGTTGGCAATTTCCAACATATTATTATTTTCGTTTATACACGAAATAACCGCGTAGAAATCCGGTCATGTCAAGTCGAAGTTTACGGTCGAAACAGTCGGGCAAGTCTGGTGAAGTGGTGAAAAGTGCAAATGATGGTGTGCAAACGGTGGTCACGGAAGATCCGGAGGAGTCCCATCCCGGCCATACATGTCAGGTGTGCCGAGGAGAAGACACGGATGATATGGTGAGGTGCGACGATTGCCTGAAATGGCATCATTTCCAATGTGTCGGAGTCACGCAGCAAGTCGAGAATTATTCCTGGAGCTGTACCAAATGCGAAACCGCGAAAGGTGTCCAGGCAACAAGTTCAACTTCTGGTGCAGTCTGTCCTCAAGAAAGTGGTGGTCATAAAAAGCGGTCGACGGCTCCATCCGTCACAACTGTGCAGTGGCAAGTTGGCGAGAAGAAGAATTCATCGCGAAACGCATCGAAAACGTCTGTTGCATCGAGTCGCTCCTCACAAGCCCTTGCGAAACTGAAACTTCAGAAGCTGGACGAATTGAGGGCTATTGAGCTGCGGGAAGCGGAACTGAAACGAGCAATCGCAGCGGAAGAAGCAAGGAAAGAAAAGGCCTATTTAGAACAAAAATATCAACTGCTGGAGGAAGCCTTAAGTGAGGATGATTCGAGTAGCATTGTGTCATTAAGTCGCATGAAGAACTGGGTGGAAGAGCAACATCAAGAAGAGGCTTCAGATCCAGAGCAAGATCCGGAAGAGGAGAATCAGCTTGACCCCGATGGCCAACCAGCCGTCGTTCAGGGCCATCCGGCAACATTTTCAATACCGGACCCGATTCCAAATCCTCGACAACAGTACCCGATTCCAGAACATCCAATGCCGGTTCCGAATCTTACTCCTCTACGTCCGGTTCTATCGCATAAATCGCCGAGGCCTGTTCCAGCTGTAAATTATCCGCAGCCGTTTCCGATTCCAGAACCGTTAGGAGTATTTCCGGATCCAGGACATCCTCGTTCGGTATCGACACCGAATCGTATGCACCCGGTCCCGACTCCTGGTGCTCCAAAGGTAGTTCCGAATCGTGGATCTCCACGCTTGCTCCAGATTCCACAACAATTATATCCGAATCCTGATCTGCGGCGTTCGGAATCACCACGACCTGTTCCAGATCCTGTTCAAAGAAATCCACGACCGGTACCTGTTCCACGACACCCGGAACCAGAACCGATTCTTTCGCATCCAGGCTTCGATCCCAGCCCGGATCCTCCGATGCCTATGCCGTTTCCAGTTCAGGGTACTCCGCAAAATCATCCGAATTTTCCGCCTAGACGATCCAGTCGACCTCACGGTCGCGAAGAGGACGATTTCGATCCATGTCCGCTTACTCGAAAGCAATTAGCTGCACGACAAGCTATTTCAAAGGATCTACCGATGTTTTCTGGAAATCCTGAGGAATGGCCCCTCTTCCTCTCAACCTTCAATAGCACTACAACAATGTGTGGGTTCACCGACGAGGAAAATATAGTTCGTTTGCAGCGAAGTTTAAAGGGTCGAGCATACGAGGCGGTAAAATGTCGGCTGATGCATCCTTCCAACGTCAATGGAGTTATGTCGACACTGAAGATGCTGTTCGGGCAACCTGAGGTGATTGTCAACTCGATGATGGCGAAGATCAACTCCCTACCAGCGCTGAAAGAGGATAAACTGGAAACACTCGTAGACTTTGCCGTCAACGTCGAAAATTTCTGTGCGACAGTGGACGCGTGTGGACTGGAGGAGTACCTCTACAACGTGACCTTTCTCCATCAACTCGTCAACAAGCTGCCTTCTTCCATCAAGCTGAATTGGGCACAATACAGGCAATCGCTTCCGATGGTCAACCTTCCGTCGTTCAGTAGCTGGCTGTATTCTCTAGCAGAGGCTGCCAGCGCGGTGATCATTCCCAACAACGGTTTCGATCCTAAACCTGTTCGAAACGATATTCGTGGAAATAAAAAAGGGAACTTTGTCAATGCACACACTGAGGAATCGCCATCGGATCATCGCACCGCGGCATCATCCAACGCGAAAGTGGTCCATGATAGCTGCCCCGTATGCAAGGGAACCTGCAAGTGGATCGCCAAATGCAAGAGCTTCATAGAGTTCTCCCGTGATTCACGCTGGGCTACGGTACGAGACCTCGGCCTATGTCGGAGATGCCTACGCCGGCACAATGGAGGATGTCAAGCCAAGCTATGTGGAAAGAATGGGTGCGAGTTGAAGCACCACGAGTTGCTGCACAACGATCAGAAGAACACGTCGTCATCCACGAATACGTCATCCAATACCACGAACAAATCTACATCAACTCAGCGCAACGACCCTGCTCAACCAGGAAATAGTACGTCCGGGCACGGCTGCCATACTCATCAGGTTACGTCCAGTCAGGTTCTTTTCCGCTACTTACCGGTCGTACTTCAAGGAAAACACGGTTCGATCCAGACATTCGCCTTCCTGGATGATGGGTCGGCGCTCACACTTCTCGACAAAGAGCTAGCCGATGAGCTGCAGCTTGAAGGGGAGCCAAAGCTTCTGTGTTTGCACTGGACAGGAGGAGCGCAACGACGAGAAAACAGTTCGAGAGCAGTCAGTCTGGAAGTGGCGGCAGCACATCATCCTTCCAAGAAGTACACCTTGAACGGCGTGCGCACAGTAAATGAACTTCTGCTTCCATCGCAAACGCTCAACGTAGAGGAACTTCGTAAACTGTATCCTCATCTAAAGGATTTGCCGATTGCTTCGTATCAAGATGTTCGGCCGAGAATCCTGATCGGTATGAAGGATCAACACCTCAGTCTAGTCCTGAAGAGCCGAGAGGGTATACGAAACCAACCGATCGCCGTGAAAACCAGACTAGGCTGGACAGTTTGCGGAGGAGGAAACCAAGACGATGCCAGTAATCTGGTGCACTCAGTTTTCCATGTGTGCCCATGCGAATCACAAACGGATGAGGATCTACACAAGGCGATGAAAGAATATTTTGCAATTGATAGCTTGGGAGTTGCGCAGCCGAGAAGAGCGCTTTTGTCTGCAGAAGATGAACGAGCTAAGTCCCTGCTGGAATCTCGCACCGTGTTCAAAGGAGACCGTTACGAAACCGGCCTGTTATGGCGCTACGACAATATTCGTCTACCAGATAGTCGCCCGATGGCTCTACGCCGGCTACAGTGCCTCAAGAAGCGAATGGACAAGGACCCAAAGCTCGCTGAAACGTTGCATCAGAAAATCGCCGACTTCGTCACGAAAGGATACGCCAGAAGACTCACCGACGAGGAACTAAAACAACCATTGCAACGGGTTTGGTATCTGCCTACATTTCCGGTGACCAACATCAACAAGCCGGGAAAGATCCGAATAGTTTGGGACGCTGCGGCCTCCGCGTGTGGAGTATCGTTGAATTCAGCTCTACTGAAAGGTCCGGATCAGCTCTGCGAACTGTACACTATCCTGATTCAGTTTCGAGAAGGCCGAATCGCACTTACTGGAGATGTGCGCGAGATGTTCCTGCAAGTCCTCATGCGTTTGGAAGATCAGCATTGCCAACGATTCTTCTGGTTCGATGACGACGGTAACATTGTTGTCTACGTCTTACAGGTGATGACGTTTGGAGCCTGTTGTTCTCCTAGCAGTGCCCAGTATGTCAAAAACCTGAACGCCGAGCGCTTCAAGGCAGAAAATCCAGCGGCAGTTGAAGTGATTCAGAAACGCCACTACGTTGACGATATGCTGGTTAGTGTTGAAACCGAAGATGAAGCTATCCAACTTGCTCAACAAGTGAAGAAGGTGCATTCGAAAGGCGGATTCGAGATCCGTAACTGGATTAGCAACTCTAAGCGTGCCGTGGAGGCTCTACAAGAGGAACACACGGAAGAGAAGAACCTCGACCTGTCGCCAGAATTAGCAACTGAGAAAGTGCTCGGAATGTGGTGGTGCACTGACTCGGATACTTTTACGTACAAAGTAGGATGGACTCGCTACGGACAAGCGCTTTTGGAAGGTAAACGACATCCAACGAAGAGAGAGATGTTACGCGTTCTCATGTCCATGTTCGATCCACTCGGACTGATCGCGCACTTCCTCATGTACTTGAAGGTTCTGCTTCAGGACGTATGGCGTTCCGGAATCGACTGGGACGACGAAATCGATGATGCTCTCTTCGACAAGTGGCAAACATGGCTGCAAGTACTGCCACAAGTTGAACAAATCAGCATTCCTCGATGCTACCGCACACGAACCACTCCAGATTGTGAAGATATCCAGCTCCACACGTTTGTAGACGCTGGTGACAACGGGATGGCTGCGGTCTGTTATCTACGCTTCGCTCAAGACGACGTAGTGGAATGCCGATTGGTGGCTGCTAAAACCAGAGTCGCTCCGTTGAAATTTCTATCCACTCCTAGATTAGAACTTCAAGCAGCATTGGTCGGCGCCAGACTAGCTCGCTCCGTATCGAATGCCCTCTCAGTCCGAATCTCCTGTTGCTACTACTGGTCGGACTCGCAAGATGTACTGTGCTGGATTAATTCCGACCATCGACGTTATTCGCAATTCGTCGCATTCCGGGTTAGCGAGATCCTGGACACCACGGAAATGAAAGAGTGGAGATACGTTCCAACAGATCTGAACGTAGCTGATGATGGAACAAAATGGAAAGGACTTCCTGATTTGGCCCCGAAGGCGAGATGGTTCAACGGCCCCGAGTTCCTACAGTACCTGGAAACAGATTGGCCGCGTTCACCAACTAGAACGAATTCCGTCAATTTAGAACTTCGCCCTAGTGTATTGACGCACTTCATTGCCCCAGAGCCGATAGTTAGCACGAGCAAATTCTCCAGCTGGAAGCGATTGGTTAAAGTGGTCGCTCTTGTTCAACGGTTTCCCGTCAACTGTAGGCTGAAGAAACTGCAGAAGCCAATCGTGAGCGGACCATTCTCCGACCGCGACATATCCTCCGCCGAGTCGTACCTAATTCGTCAAGCCCAACAAGAAGCCTACCCGGACGAGATAGCAGTTCTTCGGAAGCAGCAGCAGCAGCAGTGCTCGGACCAACCTTCGACTTCGATTCCCAAGTCAAGTGTGCTGCACCAGAAAACACCCTGGATGGATCAGAATGGGATCCTGAGGATGCGAGGACGTATCGCCGCTTGTCATTACGCGACCGAAGATTCTAAGCATCCTGTAATACTTCCCCGTGACCACCCCACCACCAAGTTAATCGTTGCACAATACCACCAAAAATACCACCATCAGAATCACGAGACCGTGATCAATGAGATTCGCCAAAAGTACAGCATACCTAAACTTCGCATGACCTACACGAAAGTGCGAAGAGACTGCCAACGCTGTAAAAACGACCGAGTAATTCCACGCCCGCCGATCATGGCTGACTTGCCGGCGGCACGACTTGCCGCTTTCGAACGCCCTTTCACCCATACTGGCGTTGACTTCTTCGGGCCGTACGAGGTCATCATTGGCCGCCGAGTTGAGAAACGCTGGGGGATGCTCGCTACCTGTCTCACGATACGTGCGATTCACATCGAAGTCGTTCATTCCCTCAACGCTGACTCGTGCGTCATGGCAATTCGGAACTTCGTGGCCCGACGAGGAAAACCACGAGTGATCTATAGCGACCGGGGCACCAATTTCATCGGAGCGAACCGGGAGATGACGGAAGCGGAAAAGCTAGTGAGCCAAGAGGAGCTAATGAAGGAGTTCATCGATGTCAACACGAGCTGGGAATTCTTGCCTCCCTCTTCCCCGCACATGGGTGGTAGCTGGGAACGCTTGATCGGTTCCGTCAAAAAGAACCTGATGGCGATCCTACCAGCACGGAAGCTTTCGGACGAGGTCCTGCGGAACCTGCTCACCGAAATAGAAGGCACGGTCAATTCCCGACCGCTAACACACGTTCCAGTTGACGACGATTCAGCTCCAGCCTTGACACCCAACCACTTCCTACTCGGGGCATCCAATGGAATTAAGCCTCTCTGCACCCTCGATGACAGCGGTGCCGTGCTGCGCCAAAATTGGCGACTATCTCAAGTCCAAACCAACCTGTTTTGGAAGCGCTGGGTAAGCGACTACTTGCCCGAGATAACTCGCCGTACCAAGTGGTTCGTCCATACGAAGCCGATCGAGGTCGACGATATAGTGGTCATAGCTGACCCGAAGATGCCACGGAACTGCTGGCCGAAGGGCAGGATCATATGTACCCAACCTGGACGAGACGGCCAACCCAGATCAGCAACAGTTAGGACATTGACCGGGATCTACGAGCGTCCGGTAGCCAAGATAGCCGTGCTAGACGTGCGGCGCGGAACGGAGTAAGTAGACTAGGTGGTCAACGTACCTGGGGGGAGTGTTGGCGCGTTCACGCCAGCGCGCCTCTACTGTAGCGTGGGTTTGACCATCGCGTACATCATCGCAACCGCCCAATACGCACCGGCCTTGACAGTTCGTCGTATCATAGTAGTAGTGAGTGAGAATAACCACATAAAGGAAAGATACCCATAGAAAGTGAAAGTTCCATGCAGTAAAATTTGCTGATTAATTTTATACTTAAACTTATTATATTCAACGCCAAGTGAATTCCTATTTGTGGCAGTCTTATGTAGGTATAAGGTAGTATTTAAAATTAGTACATTGAACTATAATTGAATCATTTTGATAGTGAATCTCAAAGGATGTTTTTCTACATAATTATAACCTGAAATTGTGTAGTCTATATCGGATGCTAAAAGGTAAAATTTGAATTTAATGATAATTTGTTTTAAAACCTACTTACACCTAAATAATTTATAGTACGGGCAGCTAGTACAAGGTCAAATCAGATAAAATTACGGCCTACTCGTACCGATAGAACACCTTTGAACACCGGATACGATTTCTGATCACAGATCGCACACAATAGAACGGACTAAACGTAAGTTAATAAATTAGGTGATAGCATGCTAACTTTGAGTATGATGATAACATTATGTACAAGGATATAATCTAAAACCTACATGTATCCCCTTGCAGGAAAATAATAATACTGCGCAACTCAAACATAAATCCTAACTATCGGTCGTCTCTCTGCTTTATTATTATTTCGGAAATCATCCCGTCCGGTAATCTGTTGGCAATTTCCAACAATTAGTGAAAAAAAAAGAAGTGATAAACTGTAGCTAATGTATAATATAATTAGTGATGAAAACATTTCAAAGAGATACAAAAACTTTCGACCTATATGTAATGCATGCAGTAATTGAATGATTCAGCTAATAAAACAAATGTATTCATCAAAAAAGAGCAACATATTTTGCAGTACGATTTTGAATGGATACAAGAGCCAAAGATTGAAATTACAGCACACAATATGGGTTAAATGACTGAAAAACAATTACAGATTTATACAAAAATTTCATAAAAAAAAAACTAACACGTTGAAAAATAATACTAATGACAATGATTAAAAAAAAAATACGGTGAAAAACAAGATCAGAGTGGACAAGAATATTGTACCTACAAAGTGCTTTGGACTAACTGTGCACTAGAATCTCACAGCGAGATTGAATACAAAACAATTTTGAACGGAAAATACCGTCAAAACACAGAATTAATATACTGTAAATGATCCCAGAGTCGTGAATGATGTTATGGTTGACAATTTATTAAAGGCCGTTTTATTTATTACAGACCGTTACAGATGTGGAGATGAACAATTGAACAATGGCATTCGGAATCCAGAATGCACGAGAATTTATGAATGAGGTTAACTGAAATTTAAGTTCACTTACAGATACCCACCGTTTCCACTCAATTAGCGAAGACGAGCACTTGCAGCAATTTGGCCACTTACAAGACATTAATTGAATTGACTAAATAAAAAGTTAAACGTATGGCCAGAGGAACCTGGAACCGAGCATAAATGAATCGAATTACAGATGCATGCCGTTTTAAACCTCATTAGAAGAAAGAGAGTACTTGCTGCAATTTCATAACGTAGCCATCCAGATGCTTTGATTAATTGGTGAGTTACAACTACAAACAAAAATAGTTAAACGAAGGAAGAGAAAAAGTAGGGCAATAAAATAAAAATACTAGCAAAACACGATGAAAGATATCAGAATAAGAAGTATGACACAAAGGAACAAAGTTAAGAGTAAAACAAGAAGTGTAATATCGACAATCAGATAAGAATGTTCAGTTAAAGTAATTAATTCTGAATTTGTAGATGAAAATATGAAATTGAAAAAAATAAGAGCAGCAAGCAACTAACGAAGAATATTATTAATCATATCATGTCAATGATATCAAAGTATGTAAACCAAGTTAAAAAAAATATTATAGTTGATTCAAAAGATGAGTAGAAAATAATTTGAATATACCAAAGTTATAGTTTAATGAATGTTTTAGAGTGAAAGTGATAAGAAAAAAATATATCTAAAAGAAAATTATTGATGATACAGTGAAAAAGGGAAAATTGATTTTGAATATCCTTGGATGTACCAGGTGGCGAATCTCAGAGACGGTCAACAGCGAAGGAAGAGTCACATTCAAAATGGCTAGATGACAATCGAAAGACAAATCATGCGGAAGATTGAAGATTGACGGTGTTGGGTAGGATCATCGGAAAAGTATAAGGAACAGGAAGATGGAATCGAGTGGTTTATCGAGGATAACAGAATTGATCAACACATTATACTGTATAGATGAGCAATCTTCGGCATAAGCTCATCACACAGCATCTAAAAAGAGAAACTACTTCAGCGACGGTTTCACAAACATCATCATAAAACTACAGAACATACAACGTAACGTTTGATATGACATCATTAAACATCAAACTCAAAAATGGCAATGAAGCACAATCAAGTACACAACTAACGCATGGTATGGCACAAACAATATATTGACTAGCTGCATATATAAACTCAGATAGAAAACAGTCGTGGATAAAATCCAAAACAAGTTTACATCTTATAACGAAAATAAAAAAAAAGCTGTGGAATTATACTACACCATAGAGAAAGTTGAAGTTCTAATAAGCACTAAAAAAGTTTCCAACAGAAACATACATAATGACGAGATGCGATCAGTACAAGACATAGATATGAAAGACGATGAAGAGTAACCTGAATGCGGCAAACAACGAATCATAGATGGCGGGGAATGGCAGATATGTACACCCACACCTGATATTTGATATCAACCAAATGACGAGTCAGGAACAGCTTTCAATTGCATGGATGAACGAGCAGAAATGAAGGAGCTTTTACGAAAGGTACAATTGAGGATCACCCTAAGGTTAGGAGAAATATGACAACAAGAAAGCACGAAATTTTCAAATGGAAGATTACCAACTCAAGCTTATTGATAATAATTTTTGAAAAATGATTCTCAAGCTCAGTAAGTAAGGGGGGATGCAACAACCCCAAATTCTAACATCACTCTTTAGAGTGAATTATTCGTAATAGTTCTATACAATGTTAACATTAAATATCAATTGCAACAAGAATGGTATAACTCAACTAAACGCATAATTAACGTAAGTCAGTTAGGCAAATTTTCATATCAGCAAAACGCGTGATAAAACTTGTTAACACAGATGATTTAGCCAAATGACAAAATTTAGTTAAAGTATGAACGACTGAATATGTTTATCAATAGTACAAAGTAGGGTCTTAAGAAAGGCACAGTAGGAGTAAGAACCATAATACGAAGATTCAGTTAAAAATTTAGCAAATATAGAATAGTTACCAGCGCATATCCTTGAGAAGAATCTCTTCGATATTATTCTCAAGCTGGTTAAGTAAGAGGGGATGCAAAAGCCTCAAATTCCAATATCAATCTAAATAAGAAATTAACCAGTAATAGACCCCCATACGGTACGAGAAAATACACAACTTAACAGAAGCAGTGACAATGTCACACATTTCCAGGGTCAGTTGTTTATAAACAGTTGCTACCGCGTCGTCAGCGATGCGCGCTGGCTTAACTAGGTGCTTCGCGAAAGGTCAAAGTAAACATTGATGAGTAAGCATCCTACATAGCCGTTCCTACCGCGAGGAGCATTAATTCTTGTTAAAAAAACAGACACCGACTTTCCAAGAGAAAAGCTATCTGTCTCGCTTTATATGTACATACTGGAGAAAAACTATTGTGTAGAGTTTAAGTAACAAATTCATGTATAAAAGGTTTCGAAGAATAAAGAATCGGGGCAGTTGTTCTGATGAGTTTATTATCCGAGGTTTGCTAGGTGCGGACGAGCACAGTTCCAACCTCAGGATAACTGATTCATCAAAGAGCTTTTTCCATACAGTAGAAATGGAATTGCACTGTCTTTCATTTTACGGAGAAAGAAAGACCACGCGAGTTGTTGCTCTACGTTGGGCACTTCAACACGGGAGTGAAACATGGATGCGCAACGGAGTATGGGCGCTTCACATGAACTTACACACATTTGCACTACACTATCAAGTGGAAGAAAAAGTCGGATAAAATCCATGGGGTGAACTATAATATACACAAGGAATTGATCGAGATTTACGGAGTGTTTGTGCAAAACGTATGCATTTGTCCTTCCCTAATACTCAGCACACAAGTGCCGCTAGCGTAGTGTTTTCGTGCCTACTGTTATATTGAAAAGATTGTTGGATGGCCCGTGTTTTATTTTCACCATCTATTAATCACATAACGTAGGAAAGTTCTGCCCGTGCGCGATCACGGAGTTAATAGGAATAAACTTTACAGGGAAGGTTAGAAGAAGGCAGGTAAAAATAGATAAAACTTCACTGTGTAGTCCAAAAAATCTTTCGGGGGAAGTTAGAGGACAATTTGAGTTGACTTTTGGGTAAAAGTTGCAAGAAATTTCCCGACGGAGTCAGAACTTCCGGAGAAATTTGGAAGAAACGGTGTTGGTAGGGAAAATCGTTAGAATTATCTAGGAGAAATAGGAAGAATCTTCTGAGGGAAGGCAAAAAAAAATTCCGGGAGATATCATGTGAAATCGGAAACGAATTTCATGGGCAAGTTTTTATTATAAAACTTCCGGGGAAAATAAAATAAAATTTCCTGATAAAGTAGAAAAAGACCTTCGAATTCCGAAAACTCTTATAAGTCAAATGAAACTTTCGAGCTTATTTGAAAAAAATCGGGAGAGAACAAGTTTGATCGCATTTTGGAAGGAGTTTCATACCCAAAACATTAAAAATAAGTGGTTACATCTAGTCTAGCGTCGGTGGTGCAGTAGTAAGCGTGATTACCTCTCATCCCAGCAGGCCTGGGTTCAATCCCAGTCGGCGCCACCGGGATGTTCTGATGCATAACATCGCTGAGATCACGCC